CTATTATCTCGCATCATATCTATTTAATATCTAAAAATATAGATATATCATAAAGCAGGGAAAATTTTTCAGTTGATTATTCTTCGCCATAACAATTCGACAAAAAATTTTATTGTATAATAGAAAGAGTTTCTTTTATTTTCTGTTCAAACTGACACCGTGATAATGGATCAATCGCCTGTTCGAACCCTTTTTGATAAAACTGAAGTGCTTTTTGTGGTTTCGATTGGCGAAGATATACTTCCGCCATTTTCTCGTACACAGACGAACGGTCAATAGTCGATGTTACTTCTATGGAGTGAGGCTTAGTTCGATAGCGAGTGGGTTGTATCTGATGATCTAAATTTTCAGAAACTGTTTTAGCTAAATTCAAGGCGATATTGTAACATTTCAACGCTTCTTCTTTGTTGCCCAGCTCTGACAAAATTAATGCCATATTGTTGTAAACCGATGGGAGTACTTCATGGTCTTTCGGAAGTATTTGTAGCAGATATTCATAATAGGACTTAGCTTCATTGAAATGCTGGAGAGTACATAGATAGTTGCCAAAGGTTAACCAGGTGAGTTCTTCACCCACTTGAAGTTGCAGTTGTTCTTGGATCGGTTCGAATTGCGAATCAGCACATCTCAATCGAACATACCAGATTGCGTCGGGTGCCAAGTCCATAGATTGTACACGAAAAATGTTTCCGAACCGAAATATGAATCTCTCCTCGTCGAGCTTTGGGATATGCGCCTTTGCCGGAATATCAATCTCAAACATAACGATCAAAAGTCCATTGCCAGCCGCTTGACGTGCAATTTCTCGAGCGGTTAAGAAGTTCTTTGTAGTTAGGAGAAATGTATGAAAAGTAATCAATTTACCTGTGCTTGCTTTGATTAGTTCCAAGCCTTGAGATTGGGTAAGTTGAGCTCGATAGACGATCAATGATGAAGTAGTATGAGGTAACTCAGTTAAGCGTTGATTGACGGCAACAATTATTTGTTGAGTATTAAAGATACTATTGAGAGTTTTTTGTTGAAATAAACTGTTAATGATAGCAGACAAAAATGGTACATTCACAAACCAGTCGAGAAATTGATCAGTACGAGATGTTACCTCCCTGAAGGCATCTTCACAATCTATGCTATTCTCGGCGAACCTTAGACAATGATCATATAGGTTTTGTTGCAAAGAAGCATTCAAAGGCATTTGCTGTAGAGTATTTACCAATAATTGAAAAACGGCAAACTTTGCTTGTTCATTTGTAAATTGCAATCCAAATTTCCCTTTTATATGATTTTGCATCATAAACACGAGTGGAACAGGCATATAGACAGATTCTTCTACATAAAATTTGATGTCTGCTGCCAAGCGAGTCAGCATATCTTCGATGCAACAGAATAATCCACTGACTTTTTTGTGCTTGAGTATTGTCTTGTTCAATTCTTCTTGCTCCATTGATTGCAAAAACACATACACTCTATACATTTGATTCAGCGTAGTAATCGATTGAAGATCATGAATGACACTTCTTACTTCGCCAGAAATAACAAAAAATATGGATCTAGTCTTAGCAGTCGCAAGATACTCTTCACATCTAGCGCTATCTGAAAAATCGACGAGAAGAGATTGATTCTCACTGGTTGCTGTAAACAAAATTTGTCTGCCACAATGCAAGATGACAATAAGAATTTGGTCATTTGTCACTAAATTGTGCACAACATTCACAATATTTAATCGAATAGATGGCCATTTCGACGAATCGGTCAAAGTTTGATTGTGGCAACTTATGAGCAATTTGTGTTGCGGCCACAGAGCAGGCTGTGACAGACTCGATTCAATATCTTCGGACATAGTAGCAAAAAGGTCATCGAAATTTGCCCAACAATTTCGAATTTTCGGAGTCTGAGTGATCCAATTAGCTTCGCTCTTTTCAGTTTCAGAACAATAGATATATATATATTCAACGTATGGATGTTCATAGATAAGTGGAATGATGTATTGACCGATTGAAGCCGAAACAATGAAATAAATGTTTTTATCAGTGGTTGATAAGAGATGAGCAATACAGGTGCATTCATCATCGAATGATTCAGTTTTAAAATGTGAATTCAATGGTATCAACGAAGGATCGATATCAAGACATACGATAAGAACACTCGATTTGTGATTCGAATCAGATTTCAAATTGATTTGTGTACCATATGCATGAGAAAGTGAAGGCAACTGCTTATACGTAGCGGACACTTGATCTAGCTGAGAAGGAGACGAGTTATAGTTCTTGGTTGGTTGAAAGGAAACACCAATAAGTTCATTATAATAGACTGGAGTCGACTGAGTATATACTTTTGCAGTTGATAAATGAGACTAAAATATATAGATCGATTCTGACTCAGGCAAATGAAACGAGACCGCTACTTAGTTTTGACGTTAAAAATATCCTCAAAGTTCTCAAAATTTCATCTAGAAATATTTGATTTGTCTCTCAATAGCTTTAAGTAGTGCCTTGATCTAGTGACGGATAGCATGAATACATCTTGTCGTTTGAATGCTTGAATTTTACTTTCATATGTCACGAGACAGCATAGTCATTCTTTGCTCACCGCGTCGTCAGAAATGGAATGTTTCTTCTCATGATCATTTGTGCCGAAAACATCTGAAGTACTCGAGCTTCGATTAAGTGATGAGTCAGCTTTTTGGTTCGTTGTCTGGCTTTTTCTAGAAGTAAAGAAGTGAAGAACAAAGTTACATTTTTTCGACTTACAACTGTATAGTTGTATTATACAGTACAATCGCAGGACGTACTAGAATTGATCAGTAGGAAGACAGGGGTCTGTTTTATATGGGTGTGGGTGTGGGTGTGGGTGTGAGTGTGCGTGTTTGAGTATGGTTATGGACCACAACAAAAATCATATTCAAACCTACACCCACTCGCACATTTCATATCCGAATTCACACCCTCAGGATCTTGAAATCCTGTGGCTATACGTTTCTTTCAGAATTTAGTCGAAACCTTAGAAAGAAAGAGCGAATCCTCGAAGAATTCTGATTGAATCCGTTAAGAATCCGACACGGATACATCCTAGATTTTCCCTAGGATGAAGATATGGAACGCTTAAGTTAGATGCAATGACATGGCACCATCCAGCCAGGTAAGTTGAAGGCCAAGAGATCGATACTCTATGTGTTCATTTGTTTTCTGTTCTATTTAGAAAATCCTGCAGGAATCCTGTCAAAAAATCTGATAACATTCTTGAGGAAACCTCGCAAAATCTCGCAGCATATATACAGCAAATTTTTTTTATTAGGAATCACTAAAATCCTGGTAGGATCCTGATCCAAAAATATAGAAAACTGCACAGGATCCTGTTGAATCCTATTCCCAACCCTGTCAGGATCCTGTTGAATCCTATTCCCAACTCTGTCAGGATCTTGAAATTCCATGATTACACGTTTTCTTCAGAATTTAAAAGTTTTCTGAACGGTTCCTGATAAGAAATTAGTAGTAATCTGTTTAATATCCTCATTTTATCCTGTTTCGATACCCTATCAGGGCCTTGGAATTCCACAGCTATACGTTTTCTTCAAAATTTAAGAGTTTTCTGAACGACTCCTGATATAAAATGAGTGGTAGCCTGATCAGGATCCTGATTGAATCCTCTTTCTAGACTTGCCAAGATCTTGAAATTTCGGGGTGGATATGGGTATGTTTTTCATCCACACCCACACCCTCCTTCTATATCTCTATACCTCCACTATTTCCTATACTTCCACAAAGTGTAAGTGGAAACAGCTTTTGGAAATTCAAATAAAGCATCTAATCAAACTGCATCCATCTATACATGTCACTCATTGCTTTGAGATTTTTTATCCTGTAGTTTGAGGCCTAGTTGCCCCAAATCGTCATGTTTTTTTGCTTCTTTCATAAGTGTTAGATACTAAAACTGCCCAAAACTTGACTATAATCCGTCTTTCTTAGATGCTTCTGATTGGAAAAGCAGATCGGTACACGACTACATGCATTTTAAAATTTACAGCGTCGTTAAAAAGTCCTCTAATGCCGATAATCGGGTCCAACCTTTTATTGGTGACCGGACAGTTCGTCGCAGTACCATTCATCGTGGACAACTCGTTGTAAGACCATTCGTTGCAATTACATAATCTAATCATTGTTTACGTATACTTTTCAACAATGAAGCAACTTATTCTATTAAGTTTGAAATATGTAATCGAATGATTATTACAACTATTGGAAGTATTAATAATGACTAAAGTTCGATTTTTTATCTCTAGGTGGGCCACGATAGAGAATCTTAGAAAAAAAATTGGATTCCTTTATTACTCCATGGTTAATGTCAATCGGATGTAAAACTAAATACCACATTGACTAGTTTATGATAAAGAATGCATTTTCTTTTTAATCAAATAGCAACTCTATTGTTTTTATGATATAACGAAGAAAAAAATGCGAGAATAGTCAAAATGAATGATGTAATAAATGACTAAAATGATACTTCTCACGAATTGAAGTAGTTATAGATAGACGCTGACGCATTAACTATGATAAGGAAAAAACATTCCCTCACTATTACTACCTACTGCACATCTTAGTACCTCAGTTCTACACTCTTTCCTTCGCTTGCTTTCCTTTTTGATCTTAAAGCTCGCTCCCGTGTTGTTCGCAAAGCAAGTCTCTTACTTTTTCTGCATACCTATGAGAGACACAAGTATTAAAGCGATTACTTTATGCCTTTACTGACTATCGAGAATCTTTAGTCGTGGTTACTAAGGTATGTAGTAGAATGAAGACAACCGCAAAACTGACTTAAAACTTACACTCACAACTTTCTTTCAAAATAAATGTAACTTCCACAAAAACAGACAAGACGCAATTATCGAGGGTGTGGGCGAACAGAAGACTCACGTCCACATCCGTACCCAAAACCACACTCACGCGCACACGCCCTATTCCATATGCACTCTATACCCAAATCACTGTGCACATCTCTTCTGATGCTCACTCGATATTAAATTTTTGTACTCGATGATTTCCGTGATCGACGACATAGAGATTACCATGTCGATCGAATGATAAACCAACGGGACCATTGAGTCGATTCGACTGTGCTCCTGAACCGTTTCCACCAACAATCACACTTCCCTGTGTGGCTCCTTTTGGCCAACGCATGATTCGATGATTCCCAGAATCAGTCACATAGACAGTACCCAATTGATCGACAACGACTCCTTGAGGATCATTCAATTGTGTAAGACTATTTCCTTTTCCTTG